CATCCTAGCTTTCCATATCTTAAACATTTGTTTCCTACTTTATTTAAGGGATTGGATTGTTCATCATTCTATTGTGAAAGCTGTTTCTTATCTAAGAGTCATCGTACTACTTATTTGCCAAAACCTTATACTTCTTCAAAACCAATTTATTTAATATATAGTGATATTTGGGGACCTTCAAGAGTCACTACTATTTCTAGAAAAAAAATGTTGTTACATTTATAGATGATCATACTGTTTATGTTGGTTTATTTGATGAATGAAAGGTCTGAGGTTGAAAATTTTTTTAAAGATTTTTGGATTAATTTCAAAAATTTTCCCTGAACTATGCCCCTTGTAACATCGAATTTTAAAACGTAAGATCCGCTCTCCCCGAACTTTGTTCCATTAACAAGTTTTCTCCTTCTATTACAATTAGTGACGGAATTGCCACGTGTCACTTATTTAGTGAGAATTGAAAGCGCAATTACGCTTATACCCTCCTAATTAGATAATTCCCCATTTTTATTAAAAAATTCACCATCTTCTCCGTGGGAAGTTGCTAAACTTAGTCAAACAGCTCTTGCTGCAACTTAAGCTTCAACCCAAATCCAAAAATTTTAGATTTTCCACCAAGAGAAAGGCATCCCAATCCAGCTATATGCAGATCTAATACCCTGCTCTATATAATATATACAACAACCAAGGATTAGACTCCAGCGTTGAAAGATCAAAACCACTAATTGTTAAAGTGGTAAGTTAATATTTTCCGACCATCAGAATGAAGGTCCTGACAATCCCACCCTTTATGAATTGCTTCTCTCCCAACGATAATCTCACCATCTCTTAAAAAAAATCGCACACCATGCACTATATCTAAAATTGAGCTAACATTAAAGCCTTCTCCTTCTTTAGGAGAAGAACCTTTAAAAGAAAAAAAAAGGGTTTTTCATTTCCTTGTGCGACTGTTTTTTTTTTTTTTTTTGGATAAGAGAAAAATTTTACATTGAATACAACCAATACAGAGGAGAGAGGAGAAGGAGTCATCAGAGATAACAAAAAGAAAGCTAAAAAGAACTCAAAAACAGAAGCAAAACTGAAGAAATAAAAGCTAGAAACATAACAGAGGCGAATGGCCGGAAGGAAAGATGAAGACGTGGCGGTGGATCACTAGAAGACAAGGTATTTTACGATAATACCCTCCTCAGATGGGTCATGTACGTGACACGTGGTGAATTCCGTCACTCATTGTAACAGAAGGGAAAAACTTGGTAACGGAACAAAGTTCGGAGGGAGCGGATATTACGTTTTAAAATTCGGGGGGCAAAATGTTACAAGAGTCATAGTTCAGGAGGAATTTTTGAAATTAATCCAAGATTTTTACACGATAATTGAAACTCATTTTACACAGTGACAATGGAATTGAGTATTTTAACAAAATTTTGGGGAGTTTTTTTAAAGGAAACGGGTATCCATTATCAGTCTACTTGTGTGGATACTCCTCAACAAAATGGAATTGCTGAACGAAAAAATAAACATTTACTTAAAGTGGCTCGTGCTACAATGTTTTCAATGAATGTTCCAAAATACCTTTGGGGGAAGCTGTTTTAACAACATCCTATTTGATTAATAGAATGCCTACACGCGTTTTAAAATATAGCACGCCATTAGAATGTTTCCAAAAAAATTTCCCTTCTCAAGATTATACTCAGATTTACCTCTAAAGGTTTTTGACTGCATTGCTTTTGTTTGTATGCCTAACAATACTCAGTCTAAACTTGATCCTCGGGCTGAAAAATATATTTTCATAAGGTATGCATCTAATAAAAAGGGATATAAGAGCTATAATCCCAAAACACGAAAAATTTATGTGAGTATGGATGTTTCTTTCTTTGAAAATAAATCCTACTTTGACAAAAATTCTCTTCAAGGGGAGAATGAGGTGATGGAAGGAAATTTTTGGGATTTATCTCCTACTTCTACTCCTTTACCAAGTATGATTTTGAATACTTCACCTCATACTCCTCATCCTACTGTTATTCCCGAAAATCAAAGTCAGGAACAATGTAATAAAACCAATGAAAGTAATGAAGGAAATCCTAGTCATATAGTGCCAAGCATTACTGTATCTGAAACAGGGGAGAATCACTACAACGGGGCACAAACAAACCCAATATTGAGTCTCTAGTTTATTTTCGGAAAAGCCGCCATCAAAAGGGTCAAAGTTAGCCTATTCATCTTGGAAATGATCAATCTCGACCTTCGGGAACTGGACCTCCAAATATCACAGGTAGTTTTACCCCTAATTCATCTTCAGCTCCTATTATTTCTCCTATTGAAGAACCATCAGATCTTGATATGCCTATAGCTGTCAGGAAAGGAACCTGAACTTGCACAAAAAATCCCAAATATCCCATTGCCAAATACCTTTCTTATGAAAAACTCTCTCACACTCATAGGGCTTTTACCTCAAAAATTTCACACTTGTTTATCCCGAGAAACATTCAGGAAGCTCTTGATGATCCGAATTAGAAATTAACAGTGATGGAGGAGATGAATGCTCTTCGAAGAAGTGGTACTTGGGAAATAGTTGATTTACCTAAGGAAAAAAGGACAATAGGCTGCAAGTGGGTCTTTACTGTGAAATGTAAAGCTGACGGTAGCATAGAGAGGTACAAAGCGAGACTTGTAGCAAAAGTGTTCACCCAAACCTACGGAATTGATTATCAGGAGACCTTTGCTCCTGTAGCCAAGATAAACTTCAGAATTTTGTTATCCTTGGCTGTAAATTTCAGTTGGCCATTACACCAGTTAGATGTAAAAAATGCCTTTTTAAATGGAGATCTTGAGGAGGGCTTTATGAATCTACCACCTGGGTTTGGAGGAAAATTAGGACCAAATAAAATCTGCAGACTGAAGAAATCGTTATATGGTCTCAAATAGTCCCCTAGAGCTTGGTTTGAGAGATTTGGTAGAGCTGTAAAGAGTTGTGGCTACTGTCAAAGACAAGTTGACCAAACCATGTTCTACAAACATAGTAGAGAAGGCAAGATTACAATTTTAATTGTCTATGTGGATGATATAGTCTTGATAGGTGATGACAACAAAGAATTGGAAAGACTAGAAAAGAGACTTGCAGCTGACTTCGAGATCAAGGATTTGGGTGCATTAAAATATTTTCTTAGAATGGAGTTTGCTAGATCCAAAGAAGGTATATTTGTGAATCAACGTAAATATGTTATTGATTTACTTGCTAAGACAAGTCTGCTAGGATGTAAACCAGCAGAGACACCCATTGAGCCCAGCCTTAAGCTACAGCCTTCTAAAGCTGAAGAAGTTCTGAATAGAAAGCAATATCAGAGATTTGTTGGAAGACTGATCTACTTGTCACACACGTCCAGATACAGCCTTTGCAGTTAGTATGATTAGTCAGTTTATACATTCACCTGGACGAGAACACTTCGATGCAGTCTATAGAATCCTCATATACCTAACAAGCACCCTTGGAAGAGTCTGTTGTTTAAAAACTGTGGGCAGTTGCAAGTTGAAGTCTATACTGATGCGGATTGGGCTGGAAGTGCTATTGATAGACAGTTAACTTCTGGCTACTGCACGTTTGTCGGAGGCAATCTTATCACCTCCCAAAGTAAGAAGCAGAATGTGGTAGCGAGAAGCAGCGCAGAGGCCGAGTTTGGATCAATTGCTCATGGAATTTGTGAGGTGTTGCGGATTAAGAGAATATCGAAAGAATTGAAAATCTCTAATCCTTTGCCCATGAAAGTGTACTGTGACAATAAAGCTGCCATTTCGATTGCTCATAATCCAGTGCTTCATGACAGAACAAAGCACGTGGAGGTAGACAAACTTTATCAAGGAAAAGATCAAAAACGGAATGATCTGCATGCCATATGTTCCTACTGCCGAGCAAGTTGCATATGTGCTTACAAAGGGACTTCCTACAAGACAATTTGATAAGTTAATTAGCAAGCGGGTATGTAGGATATTTTCAAACCAGCTTAAGGGGGAGTGTTGAAAAAGGAAAGATTCAGTAGTAATATTACCGAATAATAGGAGACTTTTAGCCATGAATATTAGTTGTAAATAGTTGTTAGTCAATGCTGTAAAATAGAAAATTAGTTAGGCCAACTAGCTATCGTAATTAGTTTCCTGATTTTGTGCTTGTATTCTCTCCTATAAAGAGAACCCATGTAAACATGTGATTATTATGAGCCAATACAGAAAATATTCATTCTCTTTGGCCCCGTTCATTTCGCCGATTCGAGTTTAGAATTCGAGTTTTGCTACAGTAAAAAGCTCTCAGAAACAATCACATCTAACTTTTTTGCTACAGTAAAAAGCTCTCACATAACGTCACATCTTAACTCGAATTAAAAATTCAAATCAGCGAACTAAACGGGCCTTTAAGTTTTTCATAAGGGCAGTCCGATCATACTTTGTTCATCAAACACTCATCAAGCGGGAAAATCGCCATCGTCATAGTATATGAGGGGGGCTGATTTTCAGCCCCCATTGGGGTTGATGGGGGCTGATTTATCAGCCCCCATCAGGGCTGAAATCAGCCCCCATTGGGGCTCATGGGGGCTGATTATCAGCCCCCATTGGGGCCTCCCTGGTCAGCCCCAATGGGAGGCCCCCAGGGGCTGATTCAGCCCCAACGGAGGCCTCCCCCTGATTCAGCCCCCATTGGGGCTGATTATCAGCCCCCATTGGGGCTGATTCAGCCCCGGCGGATTCGCCCCAAATGGGGGGCCCCAAAAAAAAAAAAAAAAAATTCAGCAACTCAGATAATCAAAAAATTAGACAAAATACTAACCAAATCAAATGGAAATCAACCGATTTCGTTGAGTATATCATGTTCAAAATCATTATCAAAAAAACCCAAAAAAAAAAACAACCAAATCAGCTAAAAAAACTCAAAAATCAACTAAAAAAAACTCAACCAACTCCGGCGGGAAGGAAACCAAATCAGAAAACGGGTTCATCGGTGAGAAGAGCCATACCTTGGTGAGAAGAGGCCGAGATGAGAACGGGAAGAACGGAGGAAACCGGAGGAGCCCGAACGGAGAAATCTCAGGCGAGAACGAAACCGGAGAAAATGAATCCGGCGAGAAGAACAGAGGAGCTTGGCCGGCAAGAAGCTTGAAGAATCTGGGCTGAAGGATGGCTGAAGAATGGCTGAAGCAGAAAAAAAATCTCACACGGGGGAGGCTGAAGCAGAAAACAGAAGAGAAAAGGAAGAAAACGAAAATGGGAAAACGGGTTTTTTTCGTTTTCTAATTTCCACAAAAAGACAAAAACGTTTTTGTTTTTGTTTTTTAAAAAAACTTGTACCAAACACGTTTTTAATACCCGTTTTCAATTTTTTGCTTTGAAAAACGTGAAAAACGGAAATGAAAACGCAAACAAACAGGTCCTAAAGTTTTATTTTCTTTTGGTTCTTTTTTTTTTTATATATAGAAATTGAACAGGGACTAAGAAACGAATGCTCTGATACCAAGCTAATGTAGGATCAATGTGACAATGAGAATAGAGATAGAAGAATAGAAGAAAAGCCACTAGAGAAAAATAGAGAGGATTTAGAGAGAGAAATAAGAACTCAAGAGAGAAAAACACTAATTTCAATATTCATAAACCATACTTTGAAATGAAATTACAATGCTACTATATTTTATAGGCAAAACCAAATAACGAAATAGGAAACTAAACCAATATGAAATATGAAAACTCTAGTAATGGGAAACTAACCCTATTGTTAAAAATAGCATAAATTCCTAATTAAGCAAAATAGGAAATTAGACCAAAATAAAATAAGAAAACTTAGCAACGGGTAACTACCCTAATAAAATAAATTCCAAACTAAATAGAAACTAAATAAACATCTAAAACTATTAGACTCTCGAGAAGGTTCTAAAGGGATTTACTCACCTATTCCAATCAGGAAGAACAGGCCATTTACCAAGAAGATTCTGAAATTGCGGAGATCAAGTCTTTTCAAGCTGCTGAATATGGGGAAGAAGCTCTATACTTAATCCTTGTCCGGGCAACTTGTTTATAATACCAATCAATAGAGTCAACGAACATTGTCTTGATCCGAGAAATGTTATCTCTAACGTTGACTTGCAATGTCTGGTAAGCAGTAAACCAAATAAACTATGCTTAGTTAGAAAAGTTGAGGTCTTAACACAGACCTAATATTAGTCAAATGGTTGCTGATAAAAAACCACTGAACCAAGTGAAAATGTGCCAAGAAGAAGAATCATTTACCAGTAGACTTGCCTTCCACATTACTAGGATGGAAGTTGCAGAATAAGTTTACGAAGAACCATTTCCTAGTTATAAGCTTTGATGGAAACCGATGAAGCAACAGGAGGCTGACTAATCAAGTGCTTACTCGACCATTACTCATGCTAATGGAGGACCTCGCCATCCATTCATCTTTTTCGTGGCAAGTTCTCCAAAAGCTCTTTCTCTAAACAACCCTTGGAATTAAAAAATAAATAAAAATAAAAAGAAAAGAAATAAAAGAAATAAATAGCAACAAATTGGTCAAGCAAGGATGACTTTGGATAAGACACGTTTTTATCTTCTATTGTAGAGACTGAGCATAATTGACAATAGTAAAGAAACAATGGTACAGTAATTGGAACATAAGAGGTGGCAGCATTGTGAGGTTTAAAGCTACATCAAAACATTATGCTCAAAACCTCTGGAAAGCATCTAAATCAACCTTTCATCCAAAGTCGGCTCAGCATCTGCAGAAGGCAACAACCACACAAGTAACTCAAGCTAATGGATACGAACAGTCCACTAAAACATAACAAGTAGTTATGATCTTACTAGATTTGAGTTGATAGCCTCAACTTAATGGTGCAAATTTTCTCTTTGTTGCCAATTTACAAGCTTCCACGCCATAAAGTCTAGTTAGAAAAGTGACGGTAAGACGTTGACAAACTTCTGCTTCTTGCAAAACAAAGCCCCATTGTTACATGAATTAACCGTAAGCTAAAGAATAAGCAAACAATGAGAAAGCATAGACGAGTATTTACAATGATAATATTGGCTCTAGCTTATGTCTAGTGAAATTTGAGACTTGTCCTTATCACTGTCAAAGTTCAGCTGTCTCATTTCGGCCATTATTATCCACAGGATTATTCTAATTTCCTCTATGTCAATATGAGATTTGTCTCCTGCAAGGAACGAATTAACCTTGTCCTTGATAACAATCCAGCTGCAACCCGGACTCTTCTTTATCCCCTTTAATTTCTTGGTCATCCTTAACTGATCGCCATCCTTCTTTTTACCCAAAATCGAATGCAAGTTTGACATGACAACATAAGTAGTTGCATTATCAGGCTCCAACTCAATGAGTTTCTGAGCTGCGATTTCTGCAACATCAAGACGTAAGTGGGTCTTGCTTGTGCCAAGAAGAGCTCCCCAAACTCCAGGATGAGGCTCAAATGACATCGAATTGATCAACTCCACTGCTTCATCTACTAAACCAGCTCTGCCTAGGAGATCAACCATGCAAGCATAATGATCAGGCCCTGCTTCTATATTGTATGATGATTCCATCATTCTAAAGTACTTCCATCCTTCTTCTACCAAACCCACATGGACACAAGCTGAAAAAACGCCTAGAAAGGTGATTCCATTTGGTTCACAACCTTCCTTCACCATTTTGTGAAATAAATTAAGTGCTTCTTTACCGAGACCATTTTGGGCAAACCCAGAAATCATTGAGTTAAAAGAGACTATATTCGGTGATTCAATATTCACAAAACTTTTCCAAGCAGCAGGCAAATCTCCACACTTTGAGTACATTGAGACTAGAGAATTTTGGATGGATAAATCAAATTGCATGTTCATCTTTATTACAAGACCATGGATCTGCAATCCTTGGTTTAGAGTGGCCAAACAAGATGAAGCACTGATGATGCTGCTCAAACTAAGTGGGTTAATCCTAACAGCTTGCCGAAGCATCTCGGTAAGTGGGTTAATCCTAACAGCTTGCCGAAGCATCTCGGTAAACCAACGAAAAGCTTCTTCATATTCCTCATTGCTCACAAACCCGGAAATTACAGCTGTCCAAGAAACGGTATCTTTTTCGGGCATCATTCTAAACAATTTGATAGCTTTCTTAAGCAACCCTTTGCTAAAAAATCCTGAAATCATGGTTGTCCAAGAGACCTTATCCTTCTTGGGCATCCTCTCAAAAACCTCCAAAGCTCCGTTGATATCAGCACACTGAACATAGCCCGCGATCAAGGAATTCCATGAAATTGCATCTCTCTTTCTCATTGTATAAAACATCTTAGTACCTTCAATCAAACAGCCAAATCTGCAATACATGACAAGGATAGAATTGTCTAAGATGACTTCAAAGTCAAGTCCCATACGCGTGACCAACCCGTGCATCTGAATGCCTTCTTTATATCTTGAAATACTGCCACAGGCATCAAACATTACACTCAAGGTAGTGGGATTGACATCCACCTTCCCTTCCCTTCTCATTTTTATAAACAATTCAAACCCTTCTTTGAAATTCATGTCCTTCATATAACCGTCAATCATAGCTGTCCAAGTAACCACATTTCTATCAGGCATCTTATCAAACAAATATCTGGCATCAACAATCCTTCCTGCTTTGCAATATCCATTGACCATAGAGCTCCATGAAACCACGTCTCTAACTAACATTCCATCGAAAACACGAAATGCCTCCTCAAACCTTCCTATCTTCAAATACCCACCGATCATTGCATTCGAACAAACTGGGTCTCTCCACTCAGTCGGTGTCACAAAGTACAAATTCTCTGCCTTGCCAAACATTCCCGCCCGCACAAACCCTGTAATCATAGCAGCATAAGAAACTGCATTGGGCTTGGGAATCCTCAAAAACAAATCAAAAGCTTCATCTATCATACAGTTGTTCTTAACGTAAGCCGTAATCATCGCATTATACGAAGCAGTATTTCGTTGGGGCATTATATCGAACATGTTCCGTGCATTAACAATTTCGCCATTTTCAGCATAAGCAGTCAGCATGGCGGTCCAGGAAACGGTGTTTCTGCTGGGCATGCTGCAAAAAACCGACTCTGCTTCTCTGACGTCACCGTTTCTTCCATGTTTGGTTATCTGGGAATTGAAGGAAACAAGACTTTTGTTGGCTCTGTGGGTTTTGCTCAAGATGAAATGCACTTCTGCAAAAGTTCCAGTGGAGTAACATGAATGAGAAATACTAAAATCTGAAATGTTTAGGCAGAAGAGGCGTTTATAGAGAAGTCTGGTCTTTGTTGTGTATTTCACTGGCATGTTTGAAATCCATGACTGACATCGGAGCCTGAATACATGAAATCTCATTTTCATGAAAAGTACACGCGGTGCTGATACTATTGCTTAAAAATAATGTGACCATGAAATTTTTCACGTAAGTTATGAATTAATCAACGACTTTAACAACTCAATGGAGCTAAAAAAAAAGAAAATGAGGTTCTTTTCTCTTCTCTTCTCTTCTCTTTCTCAGCTTATATATTAAAGGTTACCAATTCTAATCCTTTTTGTACCGAATTATTAGGGATATAAAGGCAAATAACCTTTTTTTTAAGGTATTAAAAAAATAGCTGAGGTTTTGTAAAATTAGTAAAATGGTATTTTTTATTTACTAAATAGTTAATTACTAATTAATTAACGGTCAATTATTGATTGAGTAACGGCCAATTACTTATTAATACTATGATTTTTTATTATTAATTAGTATTAGTTAATTATTAATCAAAATTAATTATTAATTAATCAATTTTAATCTATAAATTACATATTTATTAATGATAAATCATTATAAATTATAATAATGGACAAATCAATCACTGATTAACTATCAATCAATCATTGATTAACTATTATAAAAAAAAATCATTTTGTTAACATAAAAAAAAAAGTTCAGTCATATGTTTGAAAAAAAAAAGTTAAGATCATTTATTAAAAAAGATGATAAAAAACGGACCATTTACCTAATTTTCTGGAATTATTATTATACAGCACGTGAGTGAGTTGTTCCTTTTTTTCAAATGATAAAAGTTGTTACGTACCAATTCCAATATGAATTTTATTTTGTAATGACAATTTTTTTCAAAAAAATTAAAATGAGAATTTCTTTTTCCAAATGAATACCAATTATAAATATTACATCAACTAATAATAAAATATTTTAAAAAAAAGAAATGCCATAAAAAATAACTCTATGAATTTTAAATCTATCATTTATGTCAAAAGGTATTCTAATAAATTATTTTTCATATCCTATTAAAATATTTTTGGACAAAAAATTATTCTGATAAGTTATATTTCATATTCTACCATATTTTCATATTCTAATAAAATATTTTTCCTCGGATTTTGTATTAACAAAATATTATGACATATTTTTTATATTCTATCAAAATATTTTTTCTCAACAAAAATTTAGGGCGCGTTTGAAATTCGTTTTAAAATAATTTTATTTTTTGTATGAAAATGAAAACGTTTTCAATTCCAAACAGAAATTATTTTTAAAAATACGTTTAGTAATTTTATCAAGAGATTATTTTTCAGTATAAAAAATTCATTAATGTCTCTCTCTACTCGAGAGATGAGAAAACGAAAATAATAAATAATAAATAAGTAAAAATTATTTTTAATTTCTTTTTATTTTAAACTAAACTAAAAAATTATTTACATTTTTTTTTATTACGTAAAATATTATTTTAAAAACATTTTCATTTTTTTAAAAAAACGTAAAAAACAAAAAGAATCAATTTTGCCATAAAATTTTTTTTTGACTTCTCTCTCTTTCCCCTCACTTCCTTTCTCTCTCTCTCTATGAATTAAGTCATCACCATGCCCTTCTCTCTCTCTTAGAAAGCATCGCAGGTCAGTCCTCTTCTCCAACGATGATGAACACACGACGAAATGGCTTCCCGGAATGGATAACGACGATCTCCGCGGCGACAAGCAGACGAACTACGAGATCTGTGACGCTCTCCTCACCTTGCCTTCAAGCACATCGCCCTTGGAGTCTATCCTTCCAAAATCATTTACGCAATTGGCCTCGTCGACCGCCAATCGTCGACATCTACACCGAGGGACCAGACAACGCTGAACTCGAGAAGCTAGAATTCATCCACATCCACAAAATTGCCATTGTTCTAGAAGCCTCGGTCGTTCTTGACGCGACTCTCAATGGCGGCAGCGATGAGGAGGTCGAGAAGCTTCAGAACTTCAAAAGGTGCATCCCACTAATATATATATATATATATGTATGTATACATATATATTTAGAGAGAGAAGAGAAGAGAGAGGGAGACGAAGAGAATGTTTGATTGAAAGATTTAAACCATAATTTGAATCATGATTTATGGTTCGTTATAATATTTTTTTTCATAAAAAATATACATAAATTAAAAATAATTCTAATCACATAATTTTAATTTATAAACTAAACGTCTCCGAAGAGACACAGCGAGAAATAAAAAATAATCAGCGGTCTCAATTTATTTTCAGTGGCATCAATAATAGGATTGTAAAAAATAATGGATATTTATGTTATTTTTTTCTTACATAATGTGGGACCTATGACTCTATTTTACTCGGAAAATGAAACAAACATGGTTCAAACTTTAATGGACACATTCACTTACCCAATTATTTAAGATATAATATTTATCATTGCTACGTGAGTTATTATAAAAAGAAAAAAGGAGGAGGTAGTAAATAGAATTTTTATAAAATTAAATTAAGTAAATGGTATATTTTAAAAATATTTGAAGTAAATAGTGGTTTATTTCGTAAGTATTTTATTTATGACAAATAAAAAAAAATTTAAGTAAATTTTCTTTTAACGATTGGTAAAAAGATGTTTTCTATGTAAATTGTTTTTTTACCACGTAAATTATTTTTTAGAGAAATTACACATTCCTCCCACCCTGGCCGTTCCTATTATAAGTCTTGTTACAAAATGCCACTCAAACTTTACTTTTAGTTCCCCCTCCCAAAACTTTAACAACTCTTGTAAATTTTTCCTCTCAACTGAATTTTTGGCGGCAAATTTCACATTAAATGCGAAAATAACAAAAAACTCCTTATGTTAAGACTTTTAATAAAAATAACATGTATCACACTAATAATGAGTGTCATTGAATCATTTTTAGTACACAGTTACTTTATTAGCTCCTCTTAGTTTAGTCACACAGAAGTACAATTACACAATAGGAATTATTTTTTTACTACTCCAATTTTATCTTAATTTACTTGATCTAAGGAACCTTAGAGATTCATTAATGGTAGTCAATAACAATAATAGAAGTAAGAATTTAACGGAAGGGAAAAATTTGAGGGGGAGAAAACTAGCTAAAATTAAAGTTCAATGGGCATTTTACGACAAGGTTTATAGTTCATGGCAAAAACTTGTAATTTTTCCTTAATTTTTACCAGTTGTAAATGAAACATTTATAAGGTAAATTACTATTTACTTTAAATAATTTTAAAATCTACTATTTATTTAATTTAATTTTAAAAATTTACTATTTATTACAATTTCTAAAAGGGAAAAAAATTTAAAGTTAGTGTCCTAGCCTCTATTATATTTTATCATACTTATAACCTTTAAAAGTTAGATTTGAAAGTTTTTAGGTGGTTGAAAATAAGGATGTCATTTTTTTCTATGGGAAAGGATCCCGCAAAGACCTATCCCTCATAGAATGGGGACAATAAATTATTAATGGGGTTCGGGATAGAGATGGGTACAACTTCTTATCCCTGATTTAGGGCTGGGCAGGGGGCGGGGAAACACACCCATCCCAATCCGACATACATAATTCAAACTGAAAATTGTACATATTATTTGTTTATTAGAAATATATTTAGTATTAACCTTAATCTTAATATTTTTTTCTATATTTATTTTGTTGAAATTGGGTTTGTTTTGTGGAAGCATTAAACTTGAATTGAATTTATAGTTTTCAATAAAAAAAAAATTGAATTTATGATAAATTTCATCGAAATAAACATCATTAAGATCAAGGCAAATACACCGAACGAGAATTCCCTGACTCCATTAATGCCTCTCATTAGTAGGGTGAGGATAGGATAGTTTCGGAAGCCGGGGATTGCTGCCCTGTTGTCATTCATAAACGAAATTTATATCAATTGTAAATGGGTTATTTTGTATGGACATTTCTTAACTTTACGATAAATTACTTTTTTAATTTTTTTTTTGATAATTTATTTTTTAAAATTTAAAATTTATTATAATGTTAATCAAATTAAAAACTAAGTTAACATTTTAGATGGTTTCTTTTACGTGAATATTTAATGAGGATAATTAATATCTTTTTGTATTGAATTGATCATCATTTACGCATTACGGGAGATTTTTTTTTTTTTAAATTGGGAGTTAACTGTATTGGGGAAAAAATTAGGGGTCCCTCAATTTTTAAAAAAAAAAATTCATTCATGAGGTGTAAAAAGATTCAATTCGATGCAAAAAGACTAGAGTCATCATTATTAAACACTCACGTAGAAGATATCGTCTAAATTTTTAACTTTGTTTTCAATTTGATCAATAAAGCAATAAATTTTAAAATTCAAACGGTGAATTGTCAAGAAAAAAAATTAAAAGACTAATTTATCAAACTCGTAAAATTAAGAGGGTGTGCATACAAAAAAGCCTTGTAAATTCATTACCACATCAAATAGAGGAATCCACACTAGGCGAAAAGCGTTTGAAAAGGATAATATTTATTTCATGTGGAGCCCAATTATCTTTTAAAAAAAACAAATAGAAATAAGGTTGCATTACTCAAAACTCAAAAGGCGCCATTTCGGCACTTACAATCGACTAATGCAACTAGGCACTTCTTCCAATCACTAACGGTGGTAGTTAAAGCAACGCTACATTGGTTTAGTTTTGTAGAGATTTTGGGAAGTTATTTTTTGTGTTCGGTAAAAGACTCAAAAAATACTTCTTAAATAATTTATGTGAAATTTGGGCTCAAAATTAAAAGCAGTCCAAAGGCTGTTTATGATTTTAAATTGTGCGGGAATCCCGTTTCATTCAATAAAAATTTCATTAATTCTCAAACTATCCCATTTATCTGCCTACCTCTAAAATTTTTCTGCAACCATGAAAGAAACTATCCTCATTCTCTCATGGCCATTCTTCTCTCCCTTTCTCCCCCCAACCCCGTCTCCCCAAAATCCCTTCTTTGCTCACTCCAAACCCTAATTCCACATTCTCCTCCATCACCACCGAACCAGAAATCAAATCAAATCACAAGCAAAGAAGAAAGAAGAAGAGAATGGACAAGAAGAGTTCAATGGCTTCTCTGCTCTCCGATGAAGATGAATACGACTTCTTGGAAATATCATCATCATCCGAAGAAGATGATGATTTGGGTCTGTTTCTGTCTCGGTCTCAGTCTCTCTCGCACTGGGAACTCATCAGCACCTCAGACGCTGACAACGACTACGACTCTGAAGAGCCCAAACAAGAAAAACGACACCAAAAAGATCACCAAGATGAAGATAATGGGTTTGGATCTTCCCCTGTAAACGACCAAATTGCAATCGAACCCCATGGCCTTCATTTTCTTGAGGATGGCTATGGTGATTTCGATGATGATGATGATGATGATGATGCGTATGCTTTGAACGACGAGCTTGTTCCGTGGTCGGTGAACGAAAAATTCAGGAGACAGAGAATGAGGAAGTTGGGGAAAAGGGGATTTACGAAGAAGATGTCCAATTCCAAGAGGTCGCCGTATTTGTTTGTGAGGCCTGGGGCTGTTCGCGGCAAGCATGGTCTGGGTTTCAAGCACAGTTTCTGATCGGCTTCACTTCAAGATTTGGTCAGAGTTATTGACATGGTACTTCTTAGAATGTTCATATGATCTGGATTTTTAGATGTGGTGCTGCGATTGGAGCATTGAACTATGTTTAGGTTATTAGATTGGGGGGTTGGTTCGTCTGAGACCAATCTTCTTTAATTGTTTCTTGATATGTCCTTTGGAGTAGAACTATGTAAATAAATTTCTAGAGTTGCAAATATGATGATCTTTGTTTCTTTGCTTTTCTTTTTCTTTTTTTTTTCTTTTTTAGAATTTAGGTGTCTCTTTGATTGTTGATATAATCTATTTTCTTATATTCTTTTTATATGTGTATGCGTTTTGATTGGGTTGTGTGAGACCAATCTTCATTTTACTACTTGTTTAGATCCTTAGAATTCTGTAAATCTTTACATGGCAGCATATAAAACAATGATCTTCATTTTTTTCATTTTTTGTCTTTTACTTGGTTTTGATTGAGTGTGAAGAAGTATAGGAAGAATGGTATGGAGATGGGAAATGGAAGAATGGAAGGCTAAAATGAAAACGGTTTTGATAGTTTTAAAAAACTGGCGTATAGGAATAGCATACTTGTTCTTCAGTTCGATCATTATGGTAGTGATTATCCGTTATAATTCCTCTGTAATCTAATCTTTGCTTTGGATACTTTAGCTAGGTAGAGAATTCATTTTGGGCTTCCAAAATCTCTACCAAACTAAGCCAATATCTGCAGTTTATCTCATTTGCTCTTTTACGTTGTTGACATGGCCTCAAGTCTCATACTCCTTGAGGTGGATTCAGATGGTATCGTTTATAAAGACAATCAACTTGAGGATAATGTAGAAGAAAATCAAAATATTAGTTTTTTATTATCACATCAAATTGCAACAAGTTGAGTACTCAATAATACTCTTTTTAGTTGTAACTATATTGTGAATGAAGAAATGAAAAAAAAAATTTATTATCATAAATTTATTGTTAAAAAACTCAAAATCATAGCATTATGTTTTTTTTTTTTAAGTTAAACAAGTATTTTTAAATACAAAAAATAATTATATATATTTAAGTTTCATACCATGTTTATTTTGGTCATTTTACATACCAACGGCAATTCAACATCAAAATTTACCAAACGCTATTACACTGATTTTAGAACCAGCACAGCTACTATAATTACAGTTTATCAAACACTCAGCTGCTTCTTGTAACCGCTGCTTCTTCCTTCACCACAGCTAAAAGTAATTTTTTTAAAATCTACAGCACTACCAAACTAAGCCATTGTCATGACAAGAAACGTAACAACGAACTCCACCACCTACATCGCTCATTAGTACACTGGTGTCTTTAAAAATTGGCCCCTCTACAGCCAACGGATGAAAATCTTTCTACCCCTTTAGCTCATAAATTTGAATATAAATTAAAATTTTATGAAAGAAAATACTATAATAAAAAGAATTAAACAGTAATTTGAACATATGAAACAAAAGGGGGCTTTGATAGCTCTGACTGCATTTGAAGAGTCATTTTCAATCAAAGAGACCCAAAGTCCACTTTCTTTGGCAAACAATAACCCTTCCCTAATGGCCAAACTCTCAGCAACAAACCCCCTGCATCTTCTTTAGCAAAAGCTACATACACAAAACCAGAGGCATCTCTAATTAAACCAGCAACTCCAATTACATTATGCATATGGAGCAAAAACCAGTCCATTCTATCCTTCCACACACTCCATAAAACTAAACTGAAGGCTTCAAACTCCTCCCGTTTCAGCACTTTATGCATTTGGAGCAAAAACCAGTCCACTTTATCGCCTTTAAACTCTGTTACCTTCCTCCAAATTAGAAAAATACAATGGTGCCACTGATTGAGTTATTTATCATAATAATGAATGTTTTGCTATGTCGATCTTGATATTTTAGGAAATATATAGTTGCAATATTTGTTTCATTTAAATGAAAGTTTTATCATCTTTATTTCAAAAAATAAAAAAGTTTGAATCCTCTACTACTACAATCAACAAAAAAAGATGAACAAATAATAATAATAATAATAATAATAATAATAATAATAATATTTGCTAATGCAAGCTATGGTTGAATCAGAAGAACAAGCAGAAACCGGCTGTTAAAGTCAAGGTTTTGCTGATGGATGAGCTCTTAATTTATCATTCTCCTGCAAGATCTCTCTAAACAACTGTTAAGAAATAAATCTTTGAAAAAAACAGAAAATCTGGTGACAAAATTGTCAACAAATGGTGGTTTAGATAATAAGAAACATCTTACCATTAGGATATGATGGCAGAGCATAGCTTTGAGCAGCATAAACTGGCTCATAAACATCAAAGTCACATTTATGCATAAGCTTTGAAAAGTATGCTCAATAGCTCCCGCAAGTTGAATGGAAAAACAAGCTATATATGGTATTGCAGCAAGAATGAAACTAAAGCCAATGGATAAGAACAGCCCCTCCGAATGCCTGATTCTATATTGTACAAGTACAGAATAACAAATAACGAGTCAATATTCGGAAATTTTATCATAAATATGATGCTATAGTATCAACAAGAAGACGGCTAATTAAGAACAATTTTGATGTCTCAAAACGTTTTTCCTTGTATTAATCTATAGTATCAACAAGAAGACGGCTAATTAAGAACAATTTTGATGTCTCAAAACGTTTTTCCTTGTATTAATTTAAGAGATATTTTTTTTTACATCTTCAATCTCTTGAAAGTATTAAGAACTAGACACTCTGATCACCGAGAGCAATAAAATCGGAGAAAAGTCAAAAAAACAAGCACACACAAAATTTATAATGGTTCGCCTTCAATGTAAAAAGTTACATCCTTTTTCTGAAGAATTTCACTATAAGGAAAGAGAAAACTTAAAGAGAAATCACACGCTTCGCATCTCATATTCTCTCTGTGTTTAGCTCTAAATCCCCTAATGCGAAAATTAACGCCCCCAGTATAAGTAAAATTGGACAACCAAAAATACGTTTGAAATCCTCAATATATCCTTACTAAAAATTGGCTCCGCATGCATGCTAACTCTGGGCAATAATTAAGATCCACGCAGTCAACAAAAAGCCTCTAACAAACTTTTTCTACCTGCAAAACAAATTAATCCTTGAATCATCCGCAAGCATAAATGAAATCCAAAAACCAGATAAAGAAAAGCTTTAATAAGCATTTACCAACAAAAACTTTTGGCCTACCCTCTAAAAAAGACAACAAACTTTTGGCCTGAGTCTGTAAAATCCTGCACATTTTAGTTAAGATCATGCTAAATGAGGGGCCACTCCTGAACTATGTCAGTGCAGCTGTCTTATTTCGGTCCTCAGCAACCATAGTATAACTTTAATCTTCTCTACTTCACTCTGAGACTGATCTCCTACGAAGAACAAATGAACTTTGTCCTTCACAGCAATCCAGCTACAACCGGGACTGTTTCTTACTCCTTTTAACTGCTTGGTTATATCTAGTTGCTCTTCCTTCTTTTCACCTGAATCGGAAAGAAAGTTGGGCAACACCAAATAAGGAGTTGAATTATTACGCTCCAAACCAATGATTTTTTGACCTGCGAGCACTGCAAGATCAGGACGTAAATGGGTCCTGCTTGCACGTAGAAGAGCTCTCCAGAGTCCGGAATGCAGCTCAAATGGCACTGAATGGATCAGTTCCACAGCTTCGTCAAGTAAACCGGCTCGGCCAAGGAGATCAACCATGTAAGCATAATGACCAGGCCTTGCTTCTATATTATTTAAAGATTTCATAAGTTTAAAGTATTTCAGTCCTTGTTCCACTAACCCTACATGGACACACGCTGAAAGAATACCCAGAAAGGTGATTTCGTTCGGTTGGCACCCTTCATTCTGTATTTTCTTACATAAATCAAGTGCTTCTTTGCCATGACCATTTTGGGCAAAACCAGTAATCATAGAGTTAAAAGAAACAATATTCGGTGAACTGATACTTATGAAAATCTTCCAAGCACTGGGCACATCCCCGCAATTTGAATACATCGAGACAAGAGAATTTTGGATGGACAAGTCATATTCCATGTTCATCTTTACTACAAGAGCATGGATCTGCAATCCTTGGTTTAGAGTGGTCAAACCAGCTGAAGCACCAAGCATGCTGCTCAAAGTTAGACGCGTGACCCTGATAGATTCGTGAAGCATCTCAGTAAACCAACAAAAAGCATTTTCATAATCCTCATTTTTCACAAACCCCGAAATTACAGAGGTCCAAGAGACAGTATCTTTTTTGGGCCTCATGCCAAACAGTTGGATGGCTTTCTCACTCAAACCTTTGCTGAAAAGTCCTGAAATCATGGTTTTCCAAGAGACCACATCATTTTTCGGCGCTCTCTCATAAACTTTCAAAGCTTCTTCAATATCACCATATTGTAAGTAACCCACAATCAAGGAATTCCATGAAATTGCATCTTTCTTGCTCATTGCATGAAACATACTAGCAGCTGCATCCATACAATCAAATCTGCAATACATGATAACAATGGAATTATCTAAGAAGACTTCAGAGTTTAGTCCCATTCGTGTCACCAACCCATGCACCTGAATACCTTCTTTATACCTTGAAAAACTGCCACAGGCATCAAACATTACACTCAAGGTAGTGGGATTGGCATCCACCTTTTCTTCCCTTCTCATTTGGAGAAACAACCCAAACCCTTCTTCAAAATTCCCATCCTTTATATACCCGTTAATCATCGACGTCCAAGTAACCACATTTCTATCAGGCATCCTATCAAACAAGTCTCGAGCATCCACAATCCTTCCTGCTTTGCAATACCCATCAACCATAGAGCTCCATGAAACCACATCCCTATCCACCATACCATCAAACATTCGAACAGCGTCTTCTAATCTCCCCAACTTCAAATATCCATTGATCAATGTACTAGAACAAACCGGGTCACGAAACTCAATCGGTGTCTCCATGTACAACTTCTCAGCCTTATCAAACATCCCTGCCTGCACAAAACCCGAAACCATAGCACCATAAGAGACCGCATTGCGCTCGGGAATCCTGGAAAACAACTCGAAAGCGTCATCTATTCTACAGTTGTTCTTGACATAAGCCGTAATCATCGCATTATAAGAAGCAATACTTCGTTCAGGCATTTTGTCGAACATCTTCCGTGCTTTACCAATTTCACCATTTTGAGCATACGCAGTGAGCATGGCAGTCCAGGAAATGGTATCTTTTTTAGGCATTCGTGAGAACACCAATTCAGCTTCTCTGAGATTACCGTTTCTTCCATGTTTGGCGATCTGGGAACTGAAGAAAACAAGAGACTTCTCTCTTCTTCTGATATTGCCCACCTTGGCGCGTGTTTCTGACGAAGTTCCAGAAGAGTAAAACGCATGCGAAAATCTACATTTTGCAGAGTTCACACTGCAGAAGCGATGATAGACAAGCATCGTTTTTTATTCTTGGGTTTCACTGACATTTTCGAAAATTTATCAAAGATATTGGAACCTTGAAATAGAAAAATCAATTCTCATGAACTAAACAAAAACAAGAGACATGTTATGAGGGACCTTCCAGTTTTTCATGCAAGCAATGAGTGCAGCAATTTTTTACAAAAATACTCATTGCTGGAGGCCTTCGTAAATATTACGCAATAGAAAAGTTTTATTAATAAAATTAACTTTTTTTTAATTTTATTTGTAAAATAATTACATAACGACAAAAAAGATCACTTTTTATAAAGAAAGACTACCCACAAAAAATGAAAAGGATCATTTTATTTATTTTATTTTGTTAATTGTAATTCTAGCAAATTTCTCCCGCGAGTATGGGAGAGTGAATCGCACTGAGCTGCTACTTGTAATCCATAAGGCTGTCAGAAACGCAAGAATAGCCCAACGGATTGCCACTAGTATCTTGGTAGCCTATTTTACCCGGTGTCAATCGTCAAACACAGTTTGGCAAGGTAGCATAACAGGGCAGAAGTAGCGCTAGACGCCGCTAGTTGTCTGGCTCGGGAGTTTACGTTTAATTCATAGATTATAATTATTTTTAATTTATATGTATTTTTTATGAAAAAAATATTATAATAAATCATAAATTATAATTTAAATTGAGAAATAAATCTTCCAACTAAATAACTCTTTATTTTTCTTTTGGGTAATAGACACAAATCCTTAAGAGAATGTTAGTTTATGTTTTCAGAATCATGATTTAAAATTATTTTTATTTTATGTGTATTTTTTATGAGAAAAAATACTGTAGAGAATTATGAATAATGATTCAGAATCATAGACGAATATAAGAAACAAACATAACTTATTTAGAACTTCTTCTTTTGCACCTAAATTTTAAAAACAAAAATTGAATTTAAATTACAATTTTATCTAAGTTTATGTTCTTTTATAAAATTTGAGTTTAAACTTGAGTTTAAACTTAAGTTTGAAGCTAAAATCTGAGTTCAAGTTCTTCTTTCAACTCAAGTTTTTAAACTCAAACTCAAGTTAATAAATAATATTTGTTATATTCTTAAAAACATCCTAACTTTTTCATTTTAATTCTGATTGAGATGCTTTTTTTCTATACGTTTACAATAAAAAGACGAATAAAACTCCACCCATATACCATATTAAAATTTTTTATCACTATTGAGTTTTTATTAAAATACTATCTAAATACAAATTCAAATTTTAACTCACATAAACACAAACTCAAAAAGATTCTTATCTCAAACTATAACTCAAATGTACACAATCAAATAAAAACTCAAATTACAACTTTAACTCAAATTATAATTTAAATTCAACTCAAAATTTATATTTAAATCACTATAACTTAAAAATACAAACGAATAAGCTTTTAATAAGTGACCGTTTAAATTTTTTTTTTAATTTGACAAAAATAATCCTCAAACTCTTATAATGTACAGTTAAACCCTTGTTCAATTCCGTCAACTTTTTAACAGATTGAATGACGTGCAACATCATCGTTCTTTTTTAATAAAAAGACCAAAATGCCCTCAAACAAAAGAAGGAAAAAAAAAACTTAAATCCAAAGAATGTGTTTGGTTGCACTGGATCTGAGCTCATTGATCTTCCTCTTCTCTCTTCGTGTTTTGAAGTTTATGACCTATCTCTCTGCAACTGGTCTTAATTCGTGATGGAAAAAAGGCTCCTGCCATAATTTTTACGCTTTATTTCATGCACTAAACCAAAATATTTTTGGGTACAAGTGTTTTTACAACAAAACCATTCTTCCATTCAAAATACAACACATATACAAAAATCAACGTCAAGATTTACTGTTCTTTGAACATAAATTAAAAATAAATACATTTAAATTGAATTTAGACTATCTAAATTTATCTACAAAAACTATCAAATGTAACTAATTTCAAACCACAACCCATAAATCCAGTTCTCATATACTTCAGAACCATCGACATGCACGATAGCAATGAAACCCATTTCTTGTAGTAAAAATACAACAGATTCACGTCTCTAATGTTCTCAAAGAAAATGGAAACATAGGCCAACACCCATCCAAATTAGCTACCCAAAGCATCCATCTAATCAAAATACAAAGAAAATCATAGAAACCCAACACAGTCTCAAAACTTCCCAACCACCTCCGAAACCCCTCGCCAACCACCTCATGCGCACAGTACAAACTATCCCATCCCTTGAGTCTCCAAATCGAAACCCACCGTCCCTCTCCATCGCAAGATCGAGACCCTACTTCCCCCGTCGTAGCGAAATCAAAGCCCCCCTTTCTTCGCCATCGCGAGATCGGAGTCCCCTTTCCCGCCGTCGTGATCAGATCCAAACTCCCCCTATGCTGCCGTCAGCTCCTATATCGTATATCCCTCTCATTTTAATTTTTAGCTTTTTTCAGAGTTTTTAGCTCCGTTCATTTCATCATTCGAGTTTAAAATTTAAATTTTGTTATAATAAAAAGTTCTCATAAACAGTCACATCTAATTTTTTTATTACAATAAAAAATTCTCACATAAAATCACATATTAATTCAAATTAAAAATTCAAATCAACAAACTAAATGAGTCTCTGCAAGTTTTTTTAAAAGATTTTTTAAATTTTAATTTTTATTAATTATATGTTTTTGTTATTTTATCAAAATACTCTTTTAAATTAGAGCACGTGATTTACACATGTCACAATTTATCAAAAATCTAACAGAATTAAACGAAAATGACTTAATTATCAACGTATTAAGAGTTTAACGACCGTTTTATCAAAATTAAAAAAAAATAAATTATCACATACTAAATAAGTACGGACTATTTATGCTGATTACTTTTTTTTTTCTTTTTTGAATCAAAGGGCTTTACCAATAGTTTTGTCATTGTCATCAAAGTGACAAAAATGTATTTTACCTTACAATGACGAAATGTATTAATTTTAAGGGAACAGCTATTATGAGGAACACACCTTTTCCTCATCCATGGGGCGACTTATATAAACCATTTGATTTTAGTCCAAAATATAAAGCGTAGGACGTAACAGTGCCCCCAAAATTCCACATCATACAAAATCTTACCAAATTGGTATATATATATATATATATATATAAAAAAGAACGAGAATTAGCGAGGGCAACGGAGCGAGACGGGGCAGAAAATAATTTGCCATTCTCATCTCTACCCTCCACAACCATCTTCATTACCACCTCCATCCCTGCTTAAAGTGAGATGGGAGCAGAATAAAAGCAATGATTAACACATTTCCAAAAGTATATGTATGTATATTTTATATAAAATATATTATATTATATAAAACATATGTATATCGGGGCGGGAACAGGGTAGGGAGTGTTTTTTCCGTCCTCATTTCATTAAGATTCAGGAACAAATTTTATCTCCATCCCATATTGTTATCCTCCATCATCGCTTTATTCGGTGCGAATCCTTGCGCGGCCCACCTTACAGAAAATGTTGTCATCTCTAAAGGAAGTTTTTCTAATAAGATTAGAAAAAATAAACTACTAGTAATCCATACTTTTCAACTGTCAAATTTGTATTATAAATTGTCTGTTTTGCATACTTTTTCAATCTGATACGATTTTGACTAAATACAACGATCAGAAAACTGGTCCTACCAGTACGATAGCCTACTGGAAAAGCTCGCACAATTAAAAAATGTTTATCTTCCACAAGCAAACGAGAGCCACTAGAGGTGGTGGAGGAGGTTGCCAACATAGGTAGCACCGCCATCTACATCACAGAAGAGCCATCACGGCCACCGGGGATGGGGATCGCCCACATAACCCCATAGATTCACAATGATGCCCCCCGGCCCAGCCCAGTCCCAACACCACCTTGGGTCACGACAGTGTCCCACAAGGGTTGCGACTATGGTTCAATGTGGCTACAATCTCCAGGGTGACAATGGTCGCCATGCATGGGTCACCATTCCATCCCGATGTAGGGATGGGTGGCTTTACGCCCCCAAGCACGTGAAGGGGGTCGCGACCCCTCCGTCTCTGTGAGTTTTAAGACCCTCCCCATTCTGGCCATCAGTGATAGTTTCACGGAAGTCTCTCATTGCCGTGTTTTTCTCATCATTTTTGTAACTATTAAATTCAAAAGAGGTGTGATCAAATGTGATTGTGTCTATTTTTGTTTGTAATTTTAGACCATTGACTTTCTATCAAACTGTTTACAAAACGTGCCTCATCAATGAGGAAAAGCTACCTTTCTCATTGTAATTTCCCTAATTTTAAAACCACATTTTAAACTTTTTGTTATAGTATTTTCTCTCACAACATTTGAATTTCCATTTGAACTTCCTGTCAAACTCATGGAACATGTATCTATGAGAAAATATTAGCTTAGAAGGTCAGAGGAAAATGACATTAAGAAAGAATATCACACACACAAATATAGGTAAAATGTTTTGATAAAATACACATGAAAACTGAATAATTCGAGTTAAAATGTGACTTTATATAAGAGTTTTTTACTGTAACAAAAAAGTTAAATGTGACTGTTTCTTAAAGCCTTTTACTATAATAAAATTCGAATTCTAAACTCGAATCGGTGAAGTGAACAGGAGAGCCTAGGATCATCAGTCACTTCCAAAAATTTTCATTAAACAACAACAACATCGAAACTGTCCATACATAGACAAAAACTTGGTATACTTCATACATTCCTCATCCACGGTGAATCAATATCTTAGAATAAACCAAAAGGGTACTCAGTATGGGATCCATCATCATTCGTATTGCAGGACCCAAAATCTGTGGTAAATCTTGTAACTCACATCTACGACTAAGCTATAACTTATTTAACTATATTCCCTTCATTAGAAAGCTTTGTGATTGCAAAAGAAGCGCCTTAGACTCCAGGCAACGGGAACTGGGTTGTAAGAGCTTCGACTCTGGTCCTCAGATCCAAAACTCGGTCTGCTAAAGGAAAATCAAGTGAAGTTACAAACTTCATGAAGTCTTGGAGCTTTGAACCCGAAACTGATTGTTTGGCATCAAGGGTGATTCCAACACCCTCATGAATGAAATCAGCGATTGTCACGAACTCTTTCTCTGTGAATCCTCTGGTTGTCATTGCAGGTGACCCAATGCGAATACCGCCTGGTACCAGGGCGCTCTTATCGCCTTTGTATTAAACATAAACAGGTGTAAGACCAAGACGAAATGCGTGAAAACCCATACAGAAACACGAAATACTTCAACTATAGGAGGAAAAAGGAAAGTCAAGGATTAGGATCAACAAAGCTAGACTCACCGGGTACTGAATTCTTGTTGAGGGTGATAGAGGCCATGTCAAGAATTTTCTCCACCCGAGCTCCGTCTATACCCTGTTAATCAAAGGAGAGGTTGTAGCATTCAGATAATAGGACAGTGGCGACAGAAGGATAGGATTTTCTGCGCGCCATAAAGTTAGGGTTTACATGTTGAAGCACCCCAAATAGAATAATATAACCGCAGGGAAAATGATCGTACTAAACAAGTTCTCACATTACCATAAGAAGAGCACTACAAAGCAAAACAGAGACAGAACAGAAATTTACCAAAGGCCTCAGATCGACAAGAACCAAGTGGTTATCACTTCCACCAGAAACTAGTTTGTAGCCCAGTTCCATCAACCGACTGGCAAGAGCTCTACAATTAGAGACCACCTACATGTATGGACGGAGCAAGGATTTAATTTAGTTGGGAGCACAAATAAGATTTCAAAAATGTATAACTTAAAATAACAAAAAATATATATTACGTATTCATAAATGTAAAATATAAACTATTGTGCATATTTCAACATAACATCCTCAACCTTACAAGCTACAAAACAAGTATAAGCATATAATTAATCACTTCAGGGGGGGGGGGGTGTTTCTACATAGTATTTGATTAATAAACATGCTACGCGCCTAAGTTAATATGCTTATTGTTGGTTGTATAACGAAAAAAGCCGGGATGTTAATATACAATTAACAAGAGAACTAACAGAAAAAAATAAATCTGTTAAAGGCTAAGCTCAATTCAACCTACTTGATATTAAAGTTTCATATTACGATTTAACGAGTAAAACAAAATTTAGAAGGCATAAAAAAATGAAAACAGAAACAAACTATATATATATATATATAGCAAGAAAGTTAATATTAGAAACTAATATAAATATATACAACATATTTTATTCTTCAGAAGGTGCCCCCCCCCCCAACTGCTGGACTATCTCCCTCCATGCCTAGCTACAGGACCGATAAACCATGTCAATTTAGGACATCCCTAGGCCATGGTCAAATAAGACGGAAATTGCATTACCTTATTCTGGTAATCTTTAAATTCAGGTGATTGTGCATACTTCAGGCAAACCGCAAGTCCCCCAATAGTGTGATTATGAGGACCTCCCTGCATTCACCACCAAAGCAGTTTATCATATATATATGTAACGCAAAAAAAAACTAAATAAAATAAAATAAATCAGTTTCTTTACCTAGCCATAGAAGAATACTAACCTGAAGGCCAGGAAATACAGCATTGTTAATGGCAGATTCTAAGTCAACACCGAGAATGGGGTCTTTTCTGAAGAAAATCATTCCACCTCTTGGCCCCCTTAAAGACTGAGAAAAAAGAAGAAAGTACAACTTTGTCAGCATATTTAGGTATATATAACCATGAAGAAAGTATATGCGTTGCTGAGTGCATGTTGACGGAAGAAAATGAGAAACAATTTTGAAATGCAAACGTCCAACTAAAGAGAATTGATTCCTAAAGACATCTTTACATAATAAGAATAAAAAAGATACAAAACCATACTCCTCAAACAAAGCAAGAATCTTATTTCCAAAAACCAAGTAAATTGCATTTCGAATTTCCAGGTATATACCTTGTGTGTTGTTGTTGTCACGATATCGCAATATTCAAAAGGATCTGCAACCACAGAAGCTGCTACAAGGCCACTAATGTGAGCCATATCCATCATTAAGAAAGCACCAACAGCATCGGCAATCTACAAAACAACAAGACATAATAAGTTTAACTATTTGTCAAAAGAGGGGAAAAAGAGTGCAGAAACAAATAATGTGTATTATTTTAGTAGATGCAACCAATCCGACCTTCCTCATCCGAGGATAGTCAAAATCGCGAGGATAAGCACTAGCACCAGCAATAATGAGTTTTGGTCGAAAGAGATTAGCAGTTTTCTCAAGCATATCATAATCAATGAGGCCTGTTTCAAATTTTAACCCAAAAAGAAAGAGAGAGAGAGAGAGTTAGAATCCACCACTAAACCGATATTCCAATCATTCTACTCTTTATTAGAAAATAAAGCTAGGTGATTACCATATTTCTCATAAAGTAAAACAAACAAGCACCTGTAGATTCGTCAAGTCGATAAGGCATGGACTCGAAATAAATTGATGTACCCGAAACTCGTCTTTTAGGCGTCATGAATCCATGTGACAAGTGTCCTCCATGAGGCAAGTCCAAACCCTAAGTGACATGCAAATTATAATATCGTACATTCATTTCAAAGATCACAAATGGTAACAAGAAAACTAAACCAACGTTAGACAACAGCTCACCATTATTCGGTCATGCGGATTGAGAATTGCAGTGTAAGCCTCAAAATTAGCGGGAGAACCGGACAAGGGCTGAACATTAACGCCCCATTTCTTTGTATCCAAGTGAAAAGCATCTAAGGCCCTCTTTTGGCACAGAATCTCAAGCTCATCAATGTACTCATTGCCTCCATAGTACCTGACATGTATGACATTCACATAATTATCACCTCAAACTAATCATAGAATCCTTACCCTCCAAAAAGATCATTTTGTTGATCTAACATTTAAAATCAAAGAGAAATGAGACATGTTAGAAAAGGAGTAAATTCAGTGTTGATCCTTAAATTTTGAAATTAGTATCTTTTTGATCCCCATATGTCAAAAATTTACTAGGTAGCAGCAGCAAGACCTTTAATATAGAGTAATCCTAGGTCCACCAATTCTTTGCCTTTAAACCACGAATAACTATCACCAAATGACATGGTCGTTAAGTTATCAGTTTTCTATTGGTAAGATGAACATTTTACAAATTCACACTATAACACCCAACTATCAAAAGTGACAAGTCTAATTTATAACCTCAATTGATTAAAAATTAGTACACCTAACACTATTCCTATTAAAGCAGACTTCTGCAACAGTTTAAATGCCATCCTAAGAACTATATATACAATTCTTTGCCTTATTATTCTAATTTTACAAATTCATTTCACCCATCTACTTCTACATGTTACACATATGATCGATCGTTGGCAACGAATTGATAAGCCTTTTTTTCTATATATAAATATATTGCATAAACATTTGTTTGGGTATCGGGTTTTACCTCTTACCAGGCAAGCCTTCGGAATACTTGTTAGTGAGGCAGGAACCAACAGTCTCCATAACCGCACGATAAGTAAAGTTCTCGGAAGCAATAAGCTCAAGGCTTCTGAACTGACGTTGCTTCTCCTTATCAACAATCGCACGCACCTCAGGATCAGCCTCGCTTAATCCGTAGTCCACAAATCCTATTACAACACAACACAATCCTAAATAACGAACGACTGAAGAATAATTGGTCTAACAAAAAAAAACATATATATATATATATAGAGTACCGTTAATGGAGACGGAAGAGGGTGGTCGGCCGGTGACCAAGGTGGCTTCGACATGAGAGGCTTTGATGGGTTTGAAAGAGGCAGTTTTGATTTGGAAGTTGTTGTAGGGGAAGGGCGTTGTTTTCTTGTTCCAAAGGGGCTGTTGGAGTGTGCCCGTCGTCACTGCAGCAGAAGCTCCACCGCAAGCTTGCATATTGGCAGCAACGCAGTAAAGAGAGAGACTGAGAGAGAGAGAGAGAGAGAGAACGGCGCACAGGTTAAGGGGAAAGCGAGGAAGAAAATTAAAAATACCAAACCCTTTTTATTCACAGCTACGATGAGTTAGTTTCTTGATTAAATCTATTTTTAATCATTAAATTTAATTAAAATCGTATTAAATTAAAAATATATGTAAAATAAATAATTTTTAATATAAATTTAACAGTTAAAAATTAAAAAATATAAATATTTTTTTTTACTACTGGGAAACTCCAACTTCAATCCATAGAGCTTCAAACACAAAATCTAAAACAAATGTGTTGGAAACCAAACACAAAACTCCAATCCATAGAGCTACTCCTAACTAATATGTGTTTTTTTTTTTTTTTTTCAATCCATAAAGCTACTCTTAATTACGAGTTTATTCATTTCGTTGATTTGAGTTTAGATATAATTTTATTTGAGAGTTTTTTACTGTAATAAAAAAATTAAATGTGACTGTTTTTAAAAACTTTTTATTATAACAAAACTCGAATTCTAAACTCGAATCGATAAAGTGAACGGGCTAAGTGTATTTTGCAAACCAAAAACTAAAACCTAAATCAGCATAATGGAACGCGTGTTACGAGAATGGGGGAAAGTAAATTCAACCCATAATCAGCAGAACGAAAAAATTAACTAAAACCCAAAAATTAAATCAACAAATGTTGGGAAAATATGGGGAAACTAACTTCAATCCATAATCAGTATTAATGAAGAAATGAACTAAAACCTAAAAACTAATTCAACAGATGATGGAAATAAAAAACTCACACCCAAAACCAAAAATGAAGAATTAACTCAGAGGAATGACGATGGCAACCACGGGATGGAGAGAGAGAGGCCGACGAATGAGAGCGGAAGAGAGGCGAAAAGGCGCCTTCGGTGTTTTTTTATTTGTTCCACTTCCACTAAGACCCACTAATATATGTGGTATGTGGAAGCATAGAATCAGAATTTTATTATTGATTAATAGTTTTTTTAATTAAATAATTATACTATTAAAAATATATTAATCAATAAATATTAAGAAATAAAAAATTATATTAAATTATGTGATTTTTTTCATGTATGTTGTGTATATATATATATATATATATATATATTGGATTTACTTGCATAAATTTGAAATAACAATAATCCCCTAACATAAACAAATTGGGTTTACTTAATTGTATTGGTTTTTGACTACTTGATGACCTAATTCTTCAAGTTGTTTTGATTTGGTATGTGTTTTGTTTTTTTATAGAAACTTTTAGCATATTAATTCCTTTGGCTTGTAATAAAACTCCTTTATGGTGTTGACTTGGAATTAGAGTAAGGGTTTACAAACCGTTGAATTAGTTCAAACCGGCGGTTTAAATTAGACTCTGCACAATTCTACCATCTCGTCTTTGAATTCGCTTAAAGTGAGGAAAAACAACACCATTACGGTGACCCGCCCTGCAGTTTAAATTGCCATCCTTAGTACAATAACAGTTTTTATAGGAGAAGATTTCTCCAACGAAATAAGCTCATCACTATATTAAGAGTGTAAATAGTCAAAAAATGGGCAGACTTATTAGGTTATCTAAACACTTGGCATAACTTAGCTCCCGCAAAAATATAATAAACTAGGCTCTGTTCATTTTAATAAAATGCTCTCAGAAACAGTCACATATAACTTTTTGTTATAATAAAAAATTTTCACATAAAATCATATCTCAACTTAAATTAAAAATTTAAATTAACAAACTAAACGGGCCCTAGATAATTGCCAACAACACACAAACTCATTTCAAAAACACTAATGCTTATGGGGCTGACACGTGGGAAACATTTCCTTCCCTTTTTTTTCTCCATTGCTTTTTTTACTTTTGTTCTTTAGTCCCCAATTATTTTTTCTATATAGGTTTGGCCTTTATTTATGTATCTTCTCATTTTTTACCTTTTTCACATATATTTTTTATTCCCCTTGTTAAAATATTTTTCTCTCATATTTCTCTATTAAAATATTTTTCACAAATATTTTCTTACTCAATTAGTTTTCTTAAAATTCTCTATATATTTTAAGTTAAATGTGTTTGAGTAATTATTTAATTCTTTTTAACTTTACTGCAACATTTTTCTTCAAATATAAATTAAAATTTTAAATTAACAAACTAAACGGACCATAGATAATTGCCAACAACACACAAAACTCATTTCAAAAAATGCTTATGGGGCTGACCCGTGGGAAACATTTCCTTCCCTTTTTTTCTCCATTGCTTTTTTTACTTTTGTTCTTTAGTCCTCAATTATTTTTTCTATATAGGTTTGGCCTTTATTTATGTTTCTTCTCATTTTTTACCTTTTTCACATATATTTTTTATTTCCCTTCGTTAAAATATTTTTCTCTCATATTTCTCTATTAAAATATTTTTAACCAATATTTTCTTACTCATTTAGTTTTCTTAAAATTCTCTATATATTTTAAGTTAAATGTGTTTGAGTAATTATTTATTCTTTTTAACTTTACTGCAACATTTTTCTTCAAATATACCCTTTAAGTAAAAAAATATCTTCTTCTCGTATATATACCCTAATTAGTTTTCTATGTGATTTGTGCTTAAATATGTTTTACATTTAAAAATAAAAACCACGACTAAAATTAGAGATGTCAAAAGGGTCGTGTCGGGACGGCACAACCCTTCTAACCCCAGGCGTATGGCGGGCCTGGGTCATGCCTGGCACGACCCTGCACAGTGCAGAGCCGGGCCTGAGGAGAAACCCTCAGGCCTAGCACTGGCCCTCGGCCCTAGTCCATAAGGGCCAGGGCCCAAGCCCTTCATGGGCCAACTCTTACCCTTTTAATTTTGTTAATATTTAATTAAAAAAAGAAAATATATCATATGCCCTCAAAAGATGTGATTTTATTGAATTGAGATAATACGAATAAGTACACATAAATAATTGCCTAGTTAAAAACCTTGCCAAGTAAAACTCATGGGGAGATCGGGACAAAACCTTAGCGAAAGAAAAAAGAGTGTAGTATTCTAGGACAAGTAAATTACTAACCTAAGTGCGTCCAGAAGATTATGTTATGTCTAAACTCAATCTTAACCTAATTTTCTTAATGCACATAAGTTTCACTTATGATTAACAATTTTTTTAAGGATTTTTTTATAATTTCAAATTTGATGACAAAAAAAGTAATATATCATATGCCCCAAAAAAATGTGATTTTATTGAAATAATATGAATACAAGAAAATGACTGGTTGATCGGACGACATAGGTCGGCCAGTTGGCCCTAAAATGCTTCAAACCTCATTAAAATTTCATGTCGCGGGCTTGACCATTCGCGTGCATGGGCCTTGGAAGGCTTGAGCTGTTCATGGGCCTTGGCAGGCCTGGGCCATGCCTGGGCCTTGGCGGGCCTAGGCCGTTCCTGGGCCTGGGCCATGCTTGGGCCTCGACTGTGCCTGAAACATGAGGCCCAGCCCAAACCCTTCTAGCGTACCGGGCTAGCCCGGCCCATAACAATACAAGATTGGACTGTGCCGAATTGACCACTATAGTGAGCTGGGCTGGGCCATGCATGAACGGCCCGGTCCAATTTACACCTCTAACTAATATGATGATGCTCAATATGCACTTAAGTAAACATCTTTTTTCTCTTATATATGTACATCGTAATTATTTTTCTACTTGATTTGTCAATATCAATTCTTTTAACATATTCAATTTATTTTTAAAAATTTAACATTCGATGTATGTTGTGAATGAAACACATATTTTGATGCATTTTTTTTTAAATGCGCCTCATCAAAGAATTTACATATATTTAGTTATTTATTAATCTCTTGTTTAAAATTAAAATAATTTTCTTTAATAGACTGGTCAGATGAAACACACCACAATACATGTGTAGCGGATTAGCACATATCCAAATCTATATATATATATATATATATATATATATTTATAGAAAATTAATGAATTTGATATAGTGCAATCAGGTGCATTTTTGTGTTTACGGGACAACAAATCATGAGCGAGCTTCAACGGACTAAAATGTGCGTTATTGTAAAACTGATTAAATGACAATTGACTACTTTCAAGTTTCATCGCCACAAATACAACAAGAATAGTGTTTTCCATCTGCTTCTTTGGGAGCTCCGCTCCTCTCATTCTCACTCTTTCACCCTAACCCAAAGAAGTGCAGGGGGAGAAGAACCTCTCTCTCTCTCTCTCTCTAACTCTCTCTCTCTCTCTTTCTCTCTCTCCCCCAATTCATCAACAAATGGAGAGCTTCACCCTTCGCTCTCTCTCTTCCTCCACCTCCCACTCTCTCTCTTCCTCCTCCCCTGCTTCCTTTCTTCATCATCGTCCCCGCCCCATCCCCAAATCCCTGCCGTCCATTCCCCCATTCCCCACCTCCCACTCCATCCTCACCCTCCGATCATCCCCCAATCCTCTCTCTCTCTTCTCCCCCCTCCCAAAACCCCGCACCAGTAGGTCCCACTCCTCCAAGATCCAAGCCTCATCATCACCCCCACCCCCACCACCACAAAAGCAATCCAACGGCGCAAAACCTATCCCGCTCGTAATCTCCGTCGCCATTGGAGTCCTCGTCCGATTCTTCGTCCCCAAACCCGTCGAAGTCAGTGCCCAGGCCTGGCAGCTCCTCGCCATCTTCCTCTCCACCATCGCCGGCCTCGTCCTCAGCCCATTGCCCGTCGGCGCCTGGGCTTTTATTGGTCTCACGACCTCCATCGTCACCAAAACCCTCTCATTCACGACGGCGTTCAGCGCCTTCACCAGCGAGGTCATCTGGCTGATCGTCATCTCCTTCTTTTTCGCCCGCGGCTTCGTGAAGACCGGATTGGGGGACCGAATCGCGACCTACTTTGTGAAATGGTTGGGGAAGAGCACTTTGGGGCTGTCGTATGGGCTCACGCTCAGCGAGGCCTTGATTGCGCCCGCCATGCCGAGCACCACGGCCAGAGCCGGTGGGGTTTTCTTGCCGATCATCAAGTCGTTGTCGCTGTCGGCCGGGAGTAATCCTGGCGAGCCGTCGAAGAAGAAGCTCGGGTCGTATCTGATACAGTCGCAGTTTCAGGTTTACTCTCTTAACTCTCTTTGAGTTGAATTTTCGATTAATTTCTTCAAAATTATGGTCATAGTTAGTGTGTAGGAACAAAAGTTTCGAAATCTTTAGCGAAGTATGAAAATGAAAAGATTTCTGGCTTATTGGCGGCATTTCTGATTGCAGTTTTACTGGTTTAGCGATTTCGGCTCTAAATTAAAGTTTGTGGCATTTTAGTTGTTGAATTTAGGCGTACTTACTACTCAGCAGTGACATTCCTATAGATAACTGGCATTATCTCGTTGACGATTATGGCGCATCGAAAATGTGATAATTGGCGCATCAATCCTGTACTAGTTAAAGTAGTACTACATGTTCATTAAAATTCAGGCATAAAACTGCCTCAATTTTTAATTCAGGAACCAAAGAGCTAAACATGTGAAACTTCAAGTGGCATAGGTGCCAAAAGGCCTAAATTTTTGTATGTGTTATGTAGATTCAGGTGAATATATGTGAACAATTGAAAGTGAGGGTTTTAATTTATGTGCATATGTTATCCAAATGTTTCTTTTCTAGAGTAATGCTAGGAATGCTTCAGTCTATCCACAAATTTATTTTGTTATGTATAATTGAATCCCTCAAATCAATGAAATTGAATTTTATGATTGACAATGTGTTTAAAGAATGTATCGGCAAATCACTGAACATGAATTCAAAGTTGAGATAAATTTCATAGGTGACTTTGTTCTAATTGGACTCTCCCCGTTTGCTTACTGGATAATTCTCAGAATGTGGGCTTGGGACTTTTGTGAGTTACTATATATTTTTCTTAATACGATTATAATATAGATATTGGTACTTTTATCTTTTTTTTTAATCTTATTGAATGCTTCTGTCTTTATCGAGGAGGGAAAAAAAAGATGTTGTTGTGTTGGCTGCCCAAGTACAAAAGTAAAAGGGAAGTGTGTAGAGATTTAGTTATGCAATTTAACAGTCAGCAAAACGTGAAATTTGCTTATGTTATTAGTTTAAGGGAAACTTAAAAAAAATATTAAAAAAAGACCCCGCGTTTTAAAATTCTTCAGGGTGGATTAAGGGCCTGTTTAGTTCGTTGATTCAAGTTTTTAATTCGAGTTGAGATGTGACTTTATGTGAGAGCTTTAGACTTTGTTCATTTCACTAATTTGAGTTTAGAATTCGAGTTTTGCTACAGTAAAAAGCTCTTAGAAACAATCACATCTAACTTTTTCACTACAGTAAAAAGCTCTCACATAAAATCACATCTCAACTCGAATTAAAAACTTGAATCAGCGAACTAAACAGCCCTTATACTGTAGAAAAAAAGTTAAATGTAACTGTTTCTGAAAGCTTTTTACTGTAGCAAAACTCAAATTCTAAACTCGAATCAGTGAAATGAACAGGGGCTTAATAATTAGTTATAAGAAAACCTCAATTTGGATTTTGATATTTTTTTTTCACAGGATGGGAGTCAGATGCTAACTTTTAGAGTGCAATTATCAAACTACTCTCAATGAGTGAGTGATTGAGTGTCATTTGTAATGCGGGAAAGTCAAATCATGTAAAATTTTCCCCTTCAATCACAGAACTCAACATTTAAATTTCCATAAGGGAGTCCTTTGTAAAAGTTTAAAATCTAAGGAATTCTTTTTTCACAATAGATTGGAAGGATAAGTCTACCAAGTTTTCAAAACATATGGGAGATTTTCTAATGTACGGTTTGCCTTTGATTTAAGTATCATCAATTTGGAGATAGATGGTTATCCAATATGCTTTTTTGCCTCTTGTTTGGTTCACTTGTCTAGTTTTAGTCCTAATAGATTATTTTAGATGTCATGAAAATGCGATTCTTTTCTACAATTAATTGTGTTGTTTTTCATTATATTATTTTTTCCACTTTCACAACTATCGAAACTTCGATAAGGATTAAGGAGATCCTTTAAAAATCACACAATCTCAAGTGTTTACTGTAACGTGTCTGTGCACTCACGCGCATGCACATGCACATTTCTTTTTCCATAAAGCATCATATAGGAGGGTTGGTATTCCCCATTAGTCTGGCTGGTCTCAACTGCTCCCATGGGGAGAATCACACATGCTGGCCTTATTGAGTGGTTGAAGTCTGGTTGACTCATGTGCTTCAGCATTTTTCATTAGACTACAACAAATGTAATTCATCCTTAATTTACATATAGCCTTTTTTTACATATAGTTCAAATATACTTCTTTCTTCTTGGTAACTTCAGTTCTTCTTGGGTCTTATAAATTACTCTTAAACTCATGAAAAATAAAATGGTAGTTAGCTTTAAAAGCAATGAGCTAAATTCTTTTTTTTTTTTTTTCATATTTTTTCAAGGGCATACCTTATAAGTATGGTGATTTCCAATCTTTCTATCTCCTATTCTGGTGATTTCCAATCTTTTTATCTCCTATTCTACTTATTTAATTACTTGATGTTAGCGGGGTTTTTTCTGTTGAAAAGTGTGAACGGAATGGATATTTGATATTTGATTATCCATCATGTCAAATAATGATCCCCTTAAAAAAAAGAATCTGCGTAAGGATCTGGTGGAATCCAGGGTCATCATTACTCCATTGTATTATTATCATGATTGTTAGATACTGAAAGAGAAGTTTATGATCTTATACCTGTGTGTGATGTATTAATCTTGTGCTGATGTGTGACAGTCCACTGGTAACTCTAGTGCTCTTTTCCTTACTGCTGCGGCTCAAAATCTGCTATGCCTTAAATTAGCTGAAGAACTAGGGGTAGTAATGTCAAGCCCTTGGGTTTCTTGGTTCAAGGCTGCCAGTTTACCAGCAATTGTTTCGCTTCTAGTTACTCCACTAGTTTTATACATGCTTTATCCTCCAGAAACCAAAGACACGCCTGATGCCCCTGCTATGGCTGCTAAGAAATTGGAAAGTATGGGTCCTGTCACGAAAAATGAGTGGATCATGGTTGGTACAATGCTTCTTGCGGTATCTCTGTGGGTCTTTGGGTACGTACTATGCTTTTGTAGAACTACCTTAACCACTTTATTGCATACTTATGTAATCTTATCGTCAACAAACATTTGGTTCTCTCTTTGCTGGTTTATAAACACTTGTCACAGAAAGAGAACTAATGAATCTTTACATATTTTATGAGTCTTTTCATGGCTCACTTTTCTGAATGAATATGATTAAACTCATCTCTAATAAAAATTTAAATGGTTCTCGATTTTCTAGATGAGCTCTTTGGGTGTGTTTGGAACTCGTTCCAAAATGATTTTGTTTTTTGTATGAAAATGAAAATGAAAACGTTTTCAATCTCAGACATAAATTATTTTAGAAAATGCGTTTAGTAGTTTTATCAAAATATTGTTTTCAGTATAAAAAAACCATTAATATCTCTCTCTTTCTTTCTCTCTGCTCGAGAGAGGAGAAAATGAAAACAAAAAATGAAAAACAACTAAAAGTCGTTTTTCATTTCTCTCTCTCTCATTTTACACTAAACCAAAAAATCGTTTTCATTTCCGTTTTTTGTCTTTATTACGCCAAACATCATTTTAGAAACGTTTTCATTTTTTCTTTCTCGAAAAATGTGAAAAATAAAAACGGGATCAATTCTAAACACGGCTTTTGTTTTTTCAAATAATTTTTACTCTCAATGTGAGATTAAGATTTGACAAACAAATATGCTTCATGCTTGGCAAAGAAGGTTTCTTTGACTCCCAGATGTAAGCAGAAGCAATTATGTAACGCTTCTATACCATGCTGCAGTGATCATACATAGGTGAACATAGGCGCGCAGACAAACACATGTGCACCCGCACACATGCTCATATATTATGTGCATGAGATTTTCCTTTAAATCATCATTTATGGTACCATCACTTGAACGCCGCTGAAGATCATCATTTAATTCCCCAATGCAATATTTGAAAGTCTGCATATTGTATTCTCATGAACATTAGCTGACAATTTGAAACCCTGCTATATGCTGTTACATGACATAACCATTTAAATTCTTCTATCCTGGTTTATTGTTTATCAAAATTATCTGTTACTTTTGCAGAGATGCTCTTGGCATACCAAGTGTTGTAACTGCAATGATTGGCTTATCGATACTCCTTTTATTAGGAGTCCTTGATTGGGACGACTGCTTAAGTGAAAAATCAGCATGGGATACCTTAGCATGGTTTGCTGTTCTAGTGGGCATGGCTGGCCAATTGACAAACCTCGGCATTGTAGGCTGGATGTCTAATTGTGTGGCCAAGTTCCTTATGTCCTTTTCTTTGAGCTGGCCTGCTGCATTCGGTGTTCTTCAAGCAGCTTACTTCTTGATTCACTACCTCTTTGCAAGTCAAACTGGTCATGTGGGTGCTTTGTACTCTGCATTTCTTGCTATGCACTTGGCAGCTGGCGTGCCCGGTGTGCTGGCAGCATTGGCTTTAGCTTACAATACAAATCTTTTTGGTGCTCTAACACATTATAGCAGTGGCCAGGCTGCTGTCTACTATGGAGGTGCGCCCTTGTTCCCTGTATTTAACTATTTATTTTCTTTGGTTCTGTTACTTGATAAATTATCTTCAAATCTTTATTTATTTATGTTGTAGTAATTCAACTTCGTGTGTGGTGTGTGTACTCTATATATACTCGTATGTACAAGGCCGTGATAATATCTTGCTCTTTTGCTGAAGTTAATTCCAGTTTTAGACCAATCATTTATCATCAAACAATCTTAAGCTGCCAATTGATTTGGTTTTTGTTGATTATATTGGCCATCGACGGTACCCAAAAGTCGATTTATTATGCTCTTCATTTTGTTTCTTTTCAAATATACCACAAAAATGCCTGCTTTGTCTTCTACAACGTGTTGCATGATATTGATTGATACAATTTAAATTGTTCCTCTCAACAGCTGGCTATGTAGACCTTCCTGATGTATTCAAAATGGGCTTCGTGATGGCTCTTATTAACGCTGGCATCTGGGGTGTAGTTGGATCTTTCTGGTGGAAATTTTTGGGACTCTATTGATTCTAATTCTCTTTGTAAGTAAACATTGGTCTCCTAGGTTGTATAACGTCCTGTTTCAGGTCATTGCTGAGCTCATTATTTATTCTCGAAGGAAATTTTTGAGTTTTGACCTTCATTTTATCAGTCTAGCTTTTAACACAGTTGCATCAGTGCATTGATGCCTCATTCAAATATGAATATGATTAGTCAAAACCAAAAATAAAATCAACGTAAATTGTTGTTCTACTTTCCTTTTCGTGAAAGCCATGATCTGGGAATAGTTAATTCTTTTATATTCTGAACCAGTACCTTTTATATGAAGAGAATACTTTTCTTTAACAGTTACCTTTTGCTTCGAGCATGCTTAATATGTTAAGTTGATTATGTTTTGGTCGGTGATAAATTTTGTGTATCTGAACAGAGTTTAAATGATTTGTCCTAAGCTAATTTGATTCTTTCAATGACCTGTTGGGCACAACCTTGAGTTTGCTTTTACATTAGTTGAAAGGGAAGTAACGGTTCTAGCTTATAAGCTAACTTGTGGATAAAACATTACAAAAGAGCTTTACAAAACATTAATTAGATCTTATTATTATTCATTTATGAAAAGGTAATATATCCATAAAATTAGTTATTTGGAAATTCTACATTAACTTTTTTCCAGTTTTTCATCTATACAACTTGGAGAGTTGTTTTAGGCTTAGATGTCTAACTGGTATCTGGTCTTTCAAAACTCTGCCAAACAAAGCTTTAGGAAACTTCATGTACCTATTACTGATAGGATTATTCGCGTTGTCGGTTTCTAAATGAACTATTAACATTATGATGGATTTTTTCATTTCTATAGAGGCAATCTTGCCCTTGTCTCATGATAACTCAAAATTAAAGTTTTAAAGCATCTCATGGTGAGCTTATAACTAGCTTCATGAAATTCAAAAGAATAATGAATTTTAGGTATAGGGAGTATAACCTGTAAAAAAATATATACAAAAAGTGAAGACTTATGTACTTTAAAAATCACAATCCTAATAACTTAGGAACCATATCTCCAAAAACCCTTGACAATGTGATGTCAGGAATTATGAATAAATAGTTTTAACTAATGATGGAGAAGTCCATCCACTATGAACTACTTAGTCTTATTTGATATGGGGGAAAAGTGGATGGATTGATAGGGGTTATTAGCGGATGGATCTTGGATTCGTACGATTGTTTGGTGGGAAAGAATCCGTCGGTGAGGGATTTCGAATTCTTCAAAGAATCTGAACTTTAATTCATGCTGAAGACAATAAGAGAAAGGTTCTTATGTTATTATTATTTTTTCTTTCTTTCTTATTTCCTTTCCCAACTGCCAAATACAACTTCAGAGTGGATTGTGTTAAGGTATGCAGTGTCTGAGCACTTTGTTATTCTACATAAACATGGTATTGAAGTTATGCTGGTCTGATATGACTTTTTTTCTAAATTTCAATTTTTTACTCTTCTTATTTACGGCAAGGTATTCTAGAAGATTCTATATATTTTTGTTTTTGTTCTTTGCAAAACTTTGAATGCGACAGAATAAATGTCGACGTTTGAGCATATGATTTGTTTAAGCTTTAGCAAATGAAGAACTAAGATTTTGCTTCTCAGCTAGTTTTTAAAGAGCTTTGAACTAGCTTGCTTCAAGTTCAGCCTTAAGAATTATGGACTGGAAAATGATTCTATCTTCTCAACAATGTAGAATGCATCAAACAGAAGGTAAAGGCTCAAGGAAAAAAAAACAGAAAGTGTTTTGGTGGTCATTGGATTAGCTATCGTTAACGTGCACTGGGAGCTTCTTGCAATAACATTGCGAAAGCTTGGAAACTCTAATCTCGTTCCTCCATTTCAAATTTGTATGGGGTGAACCAATCCCCCTCTCATTATTATATGGTAAAAATGAGAAAGTAAATGCAAAATTGACTCATTCCCCACGCTTGATAAATAATTGCAAATTTGTGATTATTCGTCAAGTCATTGGAGATTGGACTCGAGACTACTAAGAAAAACCACAAACCTGAGCGCTGAACTCTTCCAAGTTTTATACTCTACTGTTTTTTATTAGCTTTTTTTTATTTTTTATAGCTTAAGTGACTAATAACAGAGCTGCGTGAAAAAGTGAAATCTATATAGCCGATCTTAATTAAGTTGGGATTAAGGCTTGTTGTTGTTGTTGAGTTTAAGTGACACTAATTGACCTGCTAGTTTAATTGACAAAGTTGATATATTAGGAAGATACGTATGAAAGATTCGACCAAAAGAAAAAAAAGCCTTCAATGAAATTAGGAAGGGGTCAAAAGGAATGGAAAGGAACTCCTGTGGACAAAATACAACACACTTGGAGCGTTACCACCGTGAGAAAAGAAGTCAAAACCCCTCGTACAAGGCAAGGACCTCTACACCAGTTTTAACGCCAAACATTATATTTAGTTGTCAATTCACTCTTTTGTGTAGTTGTTAAGTCACGAGAGGCAGGATTCAAGAACCACCATTATCTCTGTCAAGTTGTAGGATTCAAGAACCACCATTATCTCTTTTGTTAAAAAAAAATATGTTCTCTCCTTGCTATAGCAAACTACCTAAAATGGGGTTCCCAAACTATTGTTTGGCTTTTATGATTATTGCACTTTCTCTCAAGGCAAGGATTATAACAAGTCAGAATATAACATGCAACATAGATGACTTGAAAGCCTTGAAGGTTTTTCAAAATTGTGTAGAATCGGGCATTGAAGGATGGAACAACTCTGCTTCTCTTGATTGCTGCAATTGGAGAGGAGTTACATGTTCTGCTTTGCCTAGCATAGGCAAAAGGATTGTTGGTTTGGAGCTTGGCAATATGAGACTCACCGGTGAAATTTGCGAGTCTTTTTCAGGATTGGATCAGTTGAAAATCTTGAACCTCTCTCATAACAACTTCAGCGGTAGTCTTCCTGATGAGTTCTTTCATTTTCATAACTTGGAGGTTCTTGACCTCAGCAACAATAATCTTGCGTCTACTTTTGCAAGTATTTGTGAAGTTTCAACCAGCCTTCGAGTCCTTGATCTCTCAAATAACCATTTCTATGGGGAAATACCAAAGAGTTTGGGCAATTGTACTTCTTTGCAGATCCTTTCTCTTCATGGAAATGATCTATCAGGAAATTTTCCGGAGAGCGTCTTCAAGCTCCATAATCTCAGTGAACTCAAGCTTGCAGGTAATGGCTTTCTAGGGCTACTTAGTGATGGAATTGGAAACCTTTCTAATTTGATCAAACTGGACATTTCCTTAAACAAATTTCAGGTAGCCTTCCAGATATCTTTAAGAGACTTGGTAAGCTTGAGTACTTAATCGCTGAATCTAACAACTTTACCGGCCAGTTGCCTGCTTCTTTGACCAACTCTCCTTCTCTTCTAGTCCTTAATATGAACAACAACTCTTTGGATGGTCAAATCAATCTCAACTGCTCTGCAATGGTTAAGCTCATGTCTCTCGATCTAGGCTCCAATTCATTCCAGGGTCCCCTCCCTAAAAGCTTATCAACTTGCCGACGATTGGTTAGCGTTAATCTTAGCCATAACAAGTTCAATAGTGAAGTTCCTCATAGCTATAAGAATCTTCAGGCATTGTCATTCTTCTCCGTATCCAATGCAGGGATCCGTAATTTATCTGCAGCCCTTGTAACTCTTCAACATTGCAAGAACTTGAGTGTGCTTGTTCTCACAATGAACTTTCACGAGGAGGAAATGCCAAGTGAGGTGGATTTGCGGTTGAACAACATTAAGTCCTTTGTTTTAGCGAATTCCCAACTCAAAGGTAGGATTCCAAAATGGTTGAGCGGCTGCAATAAGTTGCAACTTTTGGATCTATCTTGGAACAATTTGCAGGGTACTGTTCCTTCCTGGTTTGGTAAGCTTGAATTCCTTTTCTACCTGGATTTGTCAAACAACTCATTGAGCAGTGAAATTCCTGAGAGCTTGACCGGACTATGGTGTCTCGACCAAGAATATTTCTTCTCAGAAGAGCCTATTCCAAGTTTCCCATTCTACTCTTGTCATCAAGGTACAACGGGTTTGAAGTACAACAAGTTGCAGAACCTTAGGCCATCTTTGGATCTAAGTAACAACAATCTCACCGGACCAATTTGGCCAACTTTTGGGAATATGAAAATGCTTCATGTTTTGGATTTGAGAAAGAATGGTCTCTCGGGAATCATTCCAAGTAGCCTTTCTGGAATGAAAAACTTGGAAATATTGGATTTGTCTCAGAATAAGCTTTCTGGTTCTATTCCCTATTCATTGTTAGGACTTCACTTCCTATCCCATTTCGATGTATCCTTCAATATGTTGTCTGGACAAATCCCTTCTGGAGGTCAGTTTGACACCTTTCCATTTTCAAGCTTTGAAGGGAACAAGGGCCTTTGGGGTTTCAACTTTCCATCTTCTGATCCAGTACTTGAGCAGACTACTTCTCTGGCTCCCAATAACAATGACCAAACAGGGGATTTTGGATGGGCATTTGGATTGGGAACCGCAACTGGTTTTGTTCTTAGTGTCTACTCTTGCTTTATGTCTGGATGGGTGTTTCCAGAAGCAGGGCGAAAAGAAGAAAGTAGAATCGGAATTAGAGGCCGGAGATGACATCAATCTTTCCAGGTTCAAGTGTTTATTTTACAGGCGAATGTAATACAGTTGGCTAGCAACTATGGTTCTAGTTTGGAAAAGTTTGTCTTATGCTTATATACGTACGTACATACATACATATATGCATATACATACACTCACATGTATACATAATCCATTAGATATGGTTCTAAGCCATCCTAGCGATAAATCAGCAATTGAAAGTAAGCTGCACTAAGTTACTTACGGATGTATGCATGCGGTCTGGCAACACTTTGGGGTGAACACCCTTCCGAACAAGTAGGGTCGTCCCCAGGCTGGGGGAGGGCAAACCATCCACTCCCTCACCCTCCCATTCGCGTAATTTTTTCTCATCCCAATACCTCTGGAAGCCGTCTTGCCATCCCTTTCAAAAGAGTAAAGGGACGACCTTCCTTCTAGTTCAATCAAACTGCCCGTCATCCGGATTAAAATAATGCAATAATGGCCGACTTTATGACAATTTAAAGAGCTCATATTGAGAGTTTTCGTTGTTACTCTTCTTACGTATTTTTGTGGACCGGTATTGATATATAGATGTAAAAAGATCTGTTTGGAAAATAAGAAACCCTTTGGACATCTCCTCATCTACAAAGAATTCTCAGGCCTCGTTCATTTCACCGATTCGAGTTTTCAGTTTTAGGTTTCTACAGTAAAAAGCTCTTAAAAAATGTCACATCTAACTTTTTCTGCTACAGTAAAAAGTTCTCATAAAATATCACATCTCAGCTCGAATTGAAAACTCGAATCTGCGAAGTGAACGAGGCCTCACTAACTTCATGATTTCTTTTTTTTTTTTTTTTTTTTTTGGAGATAAATCCATTATTGCTTTAATAAAGCTATCTGCAGCTTTCTTTCTTTTGCATTTTTAAACGATAGCTCCATTATTGCTTGATTCCTTGAAGCACTTCAAGATTCTATTATGTAGCATTTCGTTATGAAAAGACTCCATAAATCACCATCTTTTTCTTCAAGTGTTCAAGTAGAATTATTGACTCCTTGACAGCTTGTCGAAGCTTTTTGAATGTATCATGGAGCAAGAAATCAAGAGGGAAGAAGGAATCTCCTTTTCAAAATTAATTTTTAAAGAGAAAATAAAAATTGTTTGAAAATTCAACGCAGAATAATGTTCATTTTGGGGGGAAACCTATTTATTGAGGAATAAATCCTTTATGCACATGCATGCAAAATATGGATGAATTCGTTTCATTTGCTAATCCGACCATATATCCGTTTGTTGGAAATTTGACTGCTAATTTCATTCTTCAAATTATTGGACTTCGAAACAAATTCATTAACGATTTGTTTACCTGAATTTGTTGTTCTTATCTCATGTTCATCTACAACCGTACATTTTGTTCTTCTTGTGATGATTGATATTTGATAAGGAAATTTTTAAACCCATCGATGATTGGGAGAATGTCAGGGACATCTTCAAATTAATTTTTAAACCCATGCTGAGAGTGTAAGAACTTTTGAGAATTTGAGCAGTGTAATGAATCCTAATACTTGTGTCATCCTTTTGATAATAATTTTTTTTTATAGATATTGATTCATTGTTGTTTTCATAACTCAAAATTTTTTATTACAGTATTTTTTTTATATAAATTTAAATTTAAAAATTTTACTACAATATTTTCTCTTATATATTGAATTGTAAAGAACACATCCTTAGTTTGAAACCACTAATACAAATCTTATATCTTAAAAACGGGACTCTCTAGTAGGCCATCTTACTGGTATGATTAATTTTTTAACCGTTAGATCTAGTTAAAATTAAATGAGATTGAAAAAATATACACAACAGATAATTTTTAATACATATTTGACAGTTAAAAAAAAATTATATATAGTTCAATTTTTCTGATCCTGCAGGAGAAACTCCCCTTAAAAAAATAAAAGTTCTTTAAACAAGCTTTTTGGGATATGTGCAAAATGATTTTTTTAATCTTTTTTATTTTAGTATATAGCTAAGGTTTTATAAAATTAGCACGATCACGTATCAATTTCAATACTAAATCACGATAAATCAATTATAAATAAGTTTTATCACTAATTAACCAATATCAATTAGTAATAAACTAATTTTAATTAATAATTTACTAGTTTATCAGTGATAAATTATTTGAAAATCAATGATACATTAATTTATCAGTGATGAATCGTGATATGGTAATGATTGACCACTATAAAAATGTCATTTCAAAAGGTAGCCAAAATAAGTCATCCATCTAATTTTTTATATTTTATAATCAGCCACATTTATATTATATGTATATATATATATATATATTATACGGATGAGTTTTTAATAGTTACTAAGTGGTTACTATCAAATATAAAAATTTGATGACGTGACGTGATAAGAATTCAGTTTTATTAATTGTCATAAAATTTTTTAGTCAACTATATAATTTATTATAACTATTATCTTACGGCTAAAACAGTGATACTTATTAATAGGCAAATATTAGAGTAACCATTAAATCAGACCCATAAGCTCTCAAGTCCAGCAACTAAACTAGAGACAATACTATGGTGCGTTTGGAACTCGTTTAAAAATGATTTTATTTTTTGTATGAAAGTGAAAATGAAAACGTTTTCAATCTCAGACAGGTATTATTTTTAAAAATGCGTTTGGTAATTTTATCAAGAGATTGTTTTCAGTATAAAAAAATTCATTAATATTTCTCTCTCTTTCTCTTTGCTCGAGAGATGAGAAAACGAAAACAAAAATCGTTTTTTATTTTTCTCTCATTTTATATTAAACTAAAAAATTATTTTCATTTCTGTTTTTTTATTTTTATTACGACAAACGTCATTTTAAAAACGTTTTTTTTTTAAAAAACATAAAAAATAAAAATGAGATTAATTTTAAATACGGTCCTAATGTGGCCACAATAAATTGAGCAACTGATTAAACTTTTGAAGCTTAGGTTGTCACGTGTTAGCAAAAGAATGAGTGTGGCAGAAAATATTAATGTTATAATGTACGTGGATGCTAAGTACTACCTTTTAATAGAAAATGATTCTCACAATATGAGAGCGAATGATGAAATATTCTATTCATGGTGGTGTTCTCATACATTTTTCAGTAGAAAAATGTCAGGTAGTCAAATGGGTTGAAGAGCGTAAGTGTAATTATATTTCAATTGAAAATTGAGTTTTGAGATTAACAAAGTTCCGTTCATTTTACTGATTTGAGTTTAGAATTTAAGTTTTGTTACAGTAAAAAGCTCACAAAAATAGTCACATATAATTTTTTTACTACAGTAAAAAGTTATCACATAAAGTTACATCTCAACTCGAATTTAAAACTCGAATCAGCGAACTAAACGGGCCCAAAGAGGTATTTTGCTGCCACGTTATCCTTGGTTTTGTCTTTCCGTTTCGTTCCAATTTCCCCCCCGTTTTTTTTTTTTTTTTTTCTTTTCTTTAGGCTTCGTTCACTTCGCAGATTCAAGTTGAGATGTGACATTTTTTTAGAGCTTTTCACTGTAGTAGAAAAAGTTAAATGTGACATTTTCTGAAAATTTTTTACTGTATAAACTTAAAACTGAAAATTCAAATTGGTGAAATGAACGAGACCTTAATATTTTTATTAATATTTTTATGTGTTTCTTTTGATTATTATTTTGTCGGTTTCTTCTTTTTTTGAGTTTATCAAATACATTTCCATTAATTATTGTATAGAGAGGCGTTGTTGCCTTTGCTGCACTCAATTGTTTTCTTTGCTCTTTTTTCTTTGTTCGATGAATTGATTAATTACTTAAAAAAAAAAAAAAAAAAACAGTGAACACATTGGCTATTGTTATAAGAATAAAAACTGGAGTCCCAGGTTGAATAGAAAAACAATTACTACTAGCTATCAAAAAAAAAAAATTGTGTTTATAAACTACAGATTTATTATATTAAAAATAATTTGTATTTTTTTAAAACTTTAGCTACTTAACTCTTTCTTTTTCTAAAATTTTAATATTAGTTTGTCTAATTTAAGATTTAATACGTTCCTCTTTTAATCCTTTTTAATTCTAAACAAATTATACGTCAAACTGACAAAATATATCATCTTCCTCTTTTTTTGACAACTAAGTTTTTTTTTTTTTTCAAAAGAAAAATACACGCTAAGAATATGAATGCTTTTTTTTTCTTTTTATTTTGGATTAATTTTAAAAATTTCCTTCTGAATTATAACCTTTTAACACTTTGTCTCCTCAATTTTAAAAAGTAACATCTATTTTTCTCAAATTTTATTCTGTTAATAAATTTTATCATTCTGTTACAATAAGTGATAGAATTTCACCACGTGTCACTTATTTAGTGAGAATTAAAAGATGTAATTTTCTGATTGAACCTCTCAGTTTTCCCAGCATGGGCGATTTTCTCCTTAAGATCCCTCCCCAAAGACAACTGAAGATGTGGGTGTTCAAGCTTCAAGCATTGGCTTACGAGTTGAATTTGAGAAGCAAACATTATATCCTCTTTACGCTGCTTCGAGATTCTCTGCTCCTCAAACTGGATTGTCAGAGTCTTCCCCACAAATAAAAAGAAACTCCGGTCCAATTCTCTGAAAACATCACAAGACCAAGCGATTCTATTTGTCCATGTTTTTAGCAATCCTATGAAGGCATTGGCAATGTTCAAGGGAGTGAGCGGTGATGGG